ATTGCTAACACTTTGTTCAACCCTTTTTAAAATTGCTATTAAATCTCATTCTCATTTTCTGTATTAATAGAACAAGAATTCATTTTTAGTGTACCCTCAAAGCAGTAATGAGCATTGTTAACATGTAACAACAATGCCCAAGGGGAAAGTTTTCAAAGCCGGTCTAACCTTAAGGCTTTGCTATTGATGTACTACAGAGCCATCAAGCCAAGAGCTGTTAGAGCTAGTCCATTTGGAGAGTTCAGCTGCATATTTCTGCTTAATATATTGGAAGGATTACAAATGGTTTAGGTGCTGACCTAGGGAGAAGGGGGATTTTTTGTTTAATAGCTAAAGAACAGAGGGGCAACATGATAAAAATAACTATCCCTCCTGTTCATTTTAAAGTGTATCATATTGTGCTTTTGTTCTGACTTTCCTTCCATACAGATTTTCGTAAGAGGTTAATGAGAAAACATTAACAAGGCGTGCAATATTGCACATGAGCAGGGAAGCTGAAACATAGTTATTTAGTTATAAACAAACAATAGATGTTACTTTTTAATTGCTTTTTCAGAAGCCCAATTCTGCCTTCTTGAGGAAGTATTATCTATCTTATTAAATGCAGAATATTACCGTTATTTTATCTATTATATGTAGCAAAAATAAACTTGTCTAAAGCGGTACTGCTTCACTGATTTCCACTGAATGCCTTGGTCATAATAAACCAGTCAAGACCCTATAGATTGAAGGTCCTGTATGAGTTGTAGTGCATTCCTTGAAGGCGGAATTTGAGATTAAGCCTTTAAGTCAGCAGAAGGTAGTGGAAGTGGCTTCACGAGTCTCTGTTTGCGATACAAATTAAGAGGCTCAAGAACAGTGTATTACACCAGTGATAGGTAATAACATCACTTTGATTGCATTTCTTGAAGTCTTGGTTTCATTACTGTGAAAAGTATAAGGCTGCATTTTGGATGATGATTGGATATTTCAACAGAGACCAACTCATACACTGTTTCAAAATCTTAAATTCTATTGAGGAAGCATGGGTAGAAAATATTCTTTTGTTTTAATTCAATTTGTCTATAAAATTAATGCATAAATTGTTGTCATTTAGCTGTCTTGATTCACAGCACTTGGTCACACCATTGCCCTTTCCTTGGGTACGAGCTAAAGGTCATCGTGTCCTAAAACAACTAAACATGAATAGACAAGTTCAATAATGTCAAAGCTCAAAAATATTGACAGTCCAAGAAATGTGATGCATGTTGTATATTTCTGTCCATTTTTTTAAATGGGGGGGAGGGGGAGGACAAATATAGGATATATTCGGATATCTTAGTGGTTAAATAGGATTCAGACCCTTGTAATTTCAGAAGCTACATATTTTTCACTTTAGAGCTGGACCTGATGTTGCTTTTCAGTAGAATAGCTGCTTTGTGTTGCAGGAAAGGACTTTTTAAGATGGTACCCTAACAAGGGACCTCTTATAAAATTTTTACTTAATGTTTGTTTTTAATTCTCAAAATAAATTACATAGAGGTGATATGTTGAATCTGATAGGAGGAGGACGTAAGTTTGTACAAAGCATGAATGAAAGCTTTATAGGTTTCCTTCCACCCCTCCTTCTAGATTACTCCACACTATACTGAGTGCTTCACTCTCTTGAGGTGTATCTGTCCCTGAACTGAAAGTAAGGCATGCATTTGAGATTCCATATATTCCATTCCGGGTCCAGAGAAGGGCAACGGAGCTGGTGAGGGGTCTGGAGCACAAGTCTTATGAGGAGAGGCTGAGGGAGCTGGGGGTGTTCAGCCTGGAGAAAAGGAGGCTGAGGGGAGACCTTTTTGCTCTCTACAACTCCCTGAAAGGAGGGTGTAGCCAGGGGGGGTCGGTCTCTTCTTCCAAGTCACAGGCGACAGGACGAGAGGAAATGGCCTCAAGTTGTGCCAGGGGAGGTTCAGATTGGATATTAGGAAAAATTTTTTCACTGAAAGGGTTATCAAGCCTTGGAATGGGCTGCCCAGGGAAGTGGTTGAGGCACCATCCCTGGAGGTGTTCAAAAGACGGGTTGACATAGTGCTTAGTGACATGGCTTAGTTTGGGTCTTTTTGTCAGAGTTAGGTTGATGGCTGGACTAGAGGATCTTGAAGGTCCCTTCCAACCTAGATGATTCTATGATTCTATCATTTATCACCTAAAAATACGACTTTTTCCTGGACTCTGGCATAAGGAAATTCATTCCCTGTGCTTATTTAGACATTGTCTGCTTTGCATGCGTTGGCAAAAGGGTGGTAGATAACTGTCGTGTAAGGAGGAACCATAGCTTCTAACACATTTTTCAGTGACCACTGAACAGGTGTAAGATGGTACAGATTCTTGGACACACGTGTCGTGAGTGTATTTCATACAGTTTAGTTCTTGTGATTCACTCTTTGGACCTCAACAGAAGGTTGAGAGCTATGTTTGAGACAGAGATTTACCGCTCTTGTCAGGATAAGGATTCTGTTTGAAAAGTCTTCCCCAAAGGCTCACACAGAAATTTCCAGCAGGCTCAGTCCTCAACACATTGGTCCCCATATGGCCTGTCAGTGATCTCCAGTTGGTTCAGGACTGCTAAGTGTCCAAACTGACTTTGTTATTCTTACCTTTACTTGTGGGCTAGACATATTCTCTGATATCTAATCTATAGATTAGCAGCAAGCTTGAACCTTTCCTGCTTAATGGCCATTTGACTTTCTTTTGTATTTTTCCCATGGTTCCCACAATTTGTTTTGTCTTTTTGTTGTTGTTTTTTTTTTTTGGTTGGTTGGTTTTGGTTTTTTTTTCCAATAGGGAGCGAAAGAAAAGGAAAAACTTTCCCTAGGTCTGCTCTGTCAGAGTCTGATTATGTTCGAGGTGTTCTGTAACCACGTATCCTATTTCTTAGACAACTGTTGCCCTTGTGTTATATTAATTCATACATAAAGCTGGCTTGGTTTTCCTTGAACTGCCTGCTGCAGTTCTTCCCGGGTTCACACAGACCCTTGTTTCTTTCTCCCCGCTGGATTCAGTCTTCTTTTGAAAGAATGAATGGATATGAACTTCAACTGATAAATACATGCATTTGAATCTGTGGCTGATTTGTGGCTGGATTGTTTTTGATTACTTTTATCTGTAGTTGATTTGCATCTATTTGGCTCAGACTTGCTGGGGGTAACACATAGAATAAATGAATAAGTAAATTTGAGGAAGAGGCAAGGAGAGGGTGGATGAATGAATGGATGATAGGGAAAGAGAGAGAGACTAAACAGAAAGGGATGGATAAGAGGTGATTAAGAAGTACAGAAAAATAAGGAACAAGCAGTGATCAAAGTAGAGAAAAGAAATAAAAAGGATTCAAAACTGAGAAGAATAGGAAGTCTGAAAAGAATAGAAAGAGTGAAGAAGAGATAACTAAGAACTTGGTGCCTGATTACACCTGAAAAAGCAGAAATGAGTTACTTTTAATTAAGAGAAAGGGCTGGGATTGTGCACCAGTGAAGGGAAGAGTTTGTACGGGAAACTATGGGACAACGTCCAGGGTTGTCCAAGACTCAGAGCAGTAAATCTTGCCCATTTGATCAAGTTACGTGTTTGCTACAAGGCTCATGTACTCCGAACTCAAATTAGCAGTCTTCTCTCTACCTTTTGCACAGCTCCATATGGAATACCCCTGTAATGAATCCTCATTTTCCTCTTTCAAACTTGCCGGTTTGGGTTAGCATTTCTTTGTGCCCTCCAATCTGACCTTTGTTCTTTTATCAGCACAGACAATTAAATAAAACCCAGCAGCAAAAGAACTAAGCACCGCTAACAAGGCTTTCTTAGGCTAGTTGTATTGAAGCCCCCTTGTTTTCTCACATCCACTTCCATGTTCCTGCATGTTATCCCTTGTCGCATTGCATCTCAGAAGCTCTGTCAGCACCTGCAGGCAGAGAGCACCACCGTTTAGTGCTACACGTTACACATGTACTGCACAGCACAAATAATACCTAGCATGAGTCTTTGAAACTGATGCTGTGACCGAGGAGGGAAAGCCTCTGTTACTGCATTACCTGCTGTCTCAAGCACTTGGTTTCACCCAAATCCCTTTGTATTCACAAAGCAGCGACACTTGATGTTTCTCCTGCCCCCCATCTTTATATTCTCCACTTTTATTCGGAGGTCAGGGGAGCTTCCAGGCACTGCCAGTTTCCCTGTCTTCTCTCTGCTTTTGACCTCTGTCAATTAGACTCTTAGTGTAGGGCTTAATTTTAAACAGCTGACTATGATTATAAGTATTCACATGCTAATAATCAAATATGTGTTTAAAGTGCCTTGCTGGTTTAGTTTTGAAGAGAGAAACATTCCCACTGTGTATCTGCTTTGAATCTATCACAGAAAGGGTTCTTAGTCCTGATTGGGGCTTCTGGGTGCTAATGGACATAGCATTCCCATCGATATGTATGTATTTACATTGACTGTAGCAGTTCCCCAGGATCCAACTGAGAGTGGACTCTCAAAATAACTGCTAAACAAAGTTTTGGCATACCCTGTCCCAGACAACTTACAGCCCATGCAAACATAGCAAGTAAGATGAAGAAACATCAAACGGTAGCACAGAGACCGTCGCAACAAACATGTGAATTCCACAGGGGTCAATGCATATTATTGGTATTATGCCTAAGTCATCTCAGGAAAGGAAAGGTTGCCCAGTGGCTCGGGGCAAACCATGAAGATTAGCTTTTCTTCTTTGTTTTGAATCCCTGGACGCACAGGGAAGCTGGAATATTTCTCATGGTGACATCTGTCATTCGTCCCCTGAGGAATGAGTCACAAAAGTTGAGATGACACAAGAGCATGCTAAATAAAAAATACCCATCAGAAGGAAAATACATCATCTGTAGTAGGAGAATTTTGGGGAAAATGACTTATTTATTGATGATGTCTCTCCTCTCTCCTCCCTCCACCCCCCCGCCCCTTTTTTGTTTGTTTGTTTGTTTGTTTGTTTGTTTTTACAGCAGTTGTATGCTGCCCAACTTGCTGCCATGCAAGTGTCTCCGGGAGGCAAGATACCTGGCATACCCCAGGGTAACCTTGGTGCTGCTGTATCCCCTACCAGCATCCACACAGACAAGAGCACAAACAGCCCTCCACCCAAAAGCAAGGTACCGTACCAGGCCCTGCAGCCTTGTGTTTCTGACAACGGGGGTATTGCCGTGTGTCTGTTGGGTTTTTTTCTGAAGGGTGTCTGTGTGCCTCTCGGTTGCTGCCATCTCAGGATGGCTTCCTCAAACAGGAGAATATTTGTAGTGCTGGTTTTCTGATGGGAGGACCCCAGCACAGTGACACCAAACAATCATTCATACGTGACATCAGTAACAGTCACCACCTCAGCTGAGATCCCATGATTTTCCTTGCAGCATCCTATCTATCCCACTGCTGTTTCTTCCATCTTCAGTAACAGGTAGCAGGCTAAGGTGACCTGCTCCCATTCCAGCACACCACTGTTGTTTCAGAAGGCTAAACCGGAGTCAGGTTAGCACTGTGTCAACAAGACATGGGAAGCGGTGGGACGTCTCATCTGCTGCCAGATCCTGTCCTGGGGTTCAGTGGGAGTTTGTGGAGGAGCAACATTGGTTGTGTTATAGAACAGGGCCGGTATCTGTCCATCAATCGGTGGGGCTCTGATGAGTAATCTTGGTCATAGCTGGGCAATTAGCTCCTTTCTCATTTAAGAGGTCAAGTTAGCAGCTCGCAGTCACATCTGTATAACACTGCAAGTGTGGACTAGTTATACCTAGAAAAAAGATATAGAGCATGTCCAGTGGAAGAAAATGAGCTCAGCGTATGCCACAGCTGAGCAAAACCTAAGGGGTCAAAACTGAATGGTACATCTTAGGTGTTGCAAAACAACTAGAAAGAATTTAGCTAAGGAATATTGGGAAAAAGCACTCCCATTTAGGTGACAGCAAGAGCTTGATAAAAATGTGTCCTTTCTTTTTGTTAGTGTCCTCTAGCATGCTGTCCATGTCCTTTATTGTGTCAGAAAAGATTCCTTGAATTGACAGTAGTGTCTTGTTTTCACCCTAACAGTAAAGCAGCACAGATTAAAAATAACCAGACAAATAAATAATACCATTGTCAGCTCAGTGAGATATGTGTTCAAAGAATAAAATAGATGGTGTGGAACCAGTAGCTGTTGTGTTAATGAATCAAGCTCTGGATCTACGTTTTCTTTCTTCTCTCCTCAGTGTAGACTTTCTGACTTCCCCAAATTTATCCTTGGCTTGGCCTCTTCTTTTATACACTGTAGGGCGAGGAGTCACAAAACCAGTCAGTGTCCGATTATAGTTTTTCAGGGTTTTTTCTAAAAAGTCATGTCTATGGTTAACAAGAGATTTTTGTGCATTTTACAAGGGGTGTTTGTGTGTGACTAGCAGCTTGCTTGATCCACTACACTTAAAATCCCGGTGTTGTTTTTGGATCTCTGGTGCACAAGCAAAATGTCTGATGAGCTTTAAGGGGACACAGTATTTATTTTGTGGCAGTTGTGGTATTAGAAGGCCTGCCATATCTACCGGTACCATCAAGCATAGCTGTCTTACTGGCAGCTGTCAAGATTGACTCTGTTCTTCCTTGTGTTTTATTGCCTTTTCATATTAGTAGGTGTTCCAGTGCCTTTGGCTTGCAGTTCTGTAGGACACAAACAAAAGTTACTTGCAAATTCGGGAAAAAAAAGAAAAAAAAGAAAAAAGAAAAAGTGGGCCACAAGGAAAGGAAGGGGGCTCCAAAAGGCTGTAAAATTGTGCAGCATGAGCCCTGTGATGCATGCTGTTTTCAATCTGCTGTGTGCCAGTTGGAGGCTCAGAGAGAGAGCGAGGGAACGAGAAAGGATAATGCTGAGAAATGATAGAGTGGCTGTGACCTCCAAGCTCAGCCTGGAAATCCAAGACATTGATTTCACTTAGCATTCCTGCTGAGAAATCCGGCGGAGTTCAGTTGTAATAAAAGAACAAGATTCTGTTCTAATGGTAATGGCGTATGACAGACATATCACTTTGTCTGTCCTCAGCACCAGAGAGAGGAGAATTGGAGAAAGGTCACCTGACCTGCCTGTGGTGTTGTGCGAATGCTATACTGAGCTTTGAACTCCAGCCTGGAAGCACAATTATTTATAATACTAAATGATAAAGAAACCTTTAAAGAGCCTACAGTAATTAGAATAAAGCTTACACAATAGCGCGGTGGCCTGGCTCAGAAAACACACTGGCAAATCCATCACAGTGGCAGAAACTGAAGCTTATGTGTTGAAACTAAACACCTTCGTTTGTGTCTGTGTGGAACCTTCCTTTGGTTTTTCCAAGCTTGTTTGTGTTCAACAGAGCCAAAAGTTTATTGTGCTTGCTGATTTTTTATTTGTATTTTTAATTTATTATTTTTTTAGCTATTGTCAGGGTGTATCTGTCTGAGTTTTGCAGCCATTTTTTAATATATTTTTTTAAGCCCTAGCAGCAGCAACTTGGTTCTTTAAGTTAGTTTGCGGTGGTCTTTCTCGCTGTCGCTGTACGTCAAACCTCCACAGATGAACAGTTAATGCCTTAGACAAGCTTTCAATAGATGCTGTTTGCTGAATCTCTATTTTCAGCCCACAGTTTACACTGGCGCGGCTTTGGTAATACGCTCAAGTGTTTGAAGACAAGGAGACAGCCTTACCTGAGAGTGTGTCAAGCTACTGGCAAACATCTAGGTCACTTCTGAAAAGCTGTGGTTTTTTTCCCTCTTGTATAGTGTTAAAGTTAGCGTGCTGCTCTTTGCAAGGATTCTTCAAAGTCGGCCTCAGCAGCAGATGGAACAACTGTTGGCTCTAGAAATGCTGAGAAGCATCAGGGGGAGTTTGCCAAGGATCATCCTTTAAATCTAGTAAGACTTGAACACATCCCTGAAACTCCTCTAAGACCTTGGCAACTCCCGTTTTGGCAAACCTTTTATCAGTGGACCTCACCAGTGTTTGAACATTGTGCTGGGCAGACTACCCTGGCATCTTCCGCTGCCTCGCTCGCCTGTCAGCAGATGTGACCTGAAATAGTCAAAATTCACTTCCTAGGTTTCTGTACTGTAACTTTTAGGAAGCCATGGAGTAAAGATGCCATTATGCTGTGCTGCACACATTCTGTCAAGTTTTGGTTAGGAAACTGAGCTGGTGTCGTACATTCTTCCAAGAAGAAATCTGTGCCAGAAAAATTGATTTAAGAAACAGAGCTAGTGGAGCCTGTCCAAAAGCAAATGCGTGTGTCTTGCGGAAATGGATTTTAACACAGCTTCTTCTTGAGCAGTTTTAAAAACAGCCGGTATGCTAATCATACCATTCAAATTTACCAAGGCCTCCTCCACAACCCATTTGAAAGGCAACTATCTTCGAAGTTTGCCAAATTGTGCTGGATTTCCAAAGTCTGTCTTAAGCACATTTTTGCCTTTGATCGTGTAAAGGCTTGCGTGCTGCTCTGTTGGGTGTTCAAGGTGGTTACGGGCTTCCGACTAGAAGAGAACAGGCACAGGTGCAGGAAAGAACTAGGCAGAATAACCTACCAGTCCATCTTCTGATTAACTTCAAGCCTCTTGCTTGTACGGGGCTGTGCAGGAGATAAAAAAACCCCCAATGTTATAGGGAATATGTTTAGCTGAACAGTGACCTTTACCGTGCTAGCAGGATTCTCACCTGAGAGCTACAGTCTATGCTGACTATAATGAGGTGCATTATGCTCTTGAATAAGGACAGCAACATCACCCTCACCTGTAAACAGCCAGGGCCCTGTTCATTCCTGCCTTTGTTCCTTCCTTTTTATGTTGCACATATAAATATAGCATCCAGTGCCTGCGTGATGCACTATCCTAGCCCTTTCCTTGTAACCTTTCAAGTACAGTAATTCTGGACCGAATTTTCAATGTAGCTTGTAAATGTAGCTAAATGATTCCCCGCATTTAATGGAGCGCAGTGCATTGTCTGTAGCATCTGCTGAAAAACAGGAGCAATTCAGTGTGAGATGTGACAGGAGAGAATTCCTGGGTGCTTTTCTTTTAACCTTGTTATGACCTCAGCCCTAACCCTACTCACAGTTGTGTCTCCATCAATGGCAACAGCACACAGATTGTCCAAATCAATTTTTTTGTTCTTTTCAAATACTTCTGGCAGTGGTGTCACTATTTGCTCAGCGGTAGCACCTGGGAGTTGTGACAAGGAAAGGAAATGTGTTTCAGACAAGCCAGAAACAGCACTAAGCAGTTGGATATACACAATCAGATTCTCCTCAACTGCAGTATCCAGACAAGTATCAGTGTGAATCCTTAACTGAAAGATGGTACTTTATTTTCATGTTACCTGATCCTCTGATCACCAAAGTAAATGTTGGATTGGAAATTTTTCCTGTTGCCTATAGTGAGCAATAGAATCACCTTTGAAAGACTGTGGTAGAGAGTTTGCCTCTCTACCACAGCACAGATTGACCGTAAAATGGCCAGAGGCTCTCCAGGGAAGCTTCTTCCATTTTTGAGGAATATCTGCTGCTGATGCTACAGTGGCTGCCACATGCACCAGCTGTGCCTTGCATCCTGTTTATAGTCTATGAAGGATAGAAAGGCATCGACAGGGTTCTTGCTCCATTCTCGCCCAGGCAAGGTAAGCCTGGATATGAAACTAGCAACTGAGTCACCGTTGACTTTCTTACCAAGTACATCCGATACCTGGAACAAAATAAAGAATAAGAATCTTTGGAAATGGGCATTTTAATTCAGACACACCACAGGCTATGTTACTAGGAAAAATAAGTAAACTACTTGCTATGGAGAGCTGGGTGGGCGTTTTCCTGTCCCAGTCAAAACTGGTGATGGGAGTATACTTCCCAGTTTCAGTAGGAAAACTTTCTTGACTCAGGATAAATACGTGATGGAAAAAGGAAGAAAACCATCTCAAGGAAGGAGAAAGAAAAAGACCCTAAAATGGCCTGTAATAAGAAAACTCATCAACATGATTTTTCTGATTCTATTTTGGGCAAATTGTTGACTTGAACTTCATTTTAGGTGACTACCTTAAGCAGCCCTATTAACTCATGTATGTTTGTCCCCCTTTCCCTCGTTTCTCCCTTTTGTATGGTAGCTCAGAATGTGAAAA